ATTAATAATACAATAAAACAATAAAAGAATACACTAATTTATTAAATGTTGAAATTGACTAAAATTGACTAATAATACACTATTTGTTTGGACGTGGTGGTGGATTTAAATGTGAGCCATAATAGTATTTGGTACTAAATTTTTTTTATGCATTCCCATGCCCATCTGGTCTTCTAGATGAGGTGTAGTATTGTCAGATGACAAATACTCATCTTCGTTCGATGGACCTTGGTTCGATGGACCTTCCCCCATAGCTTCTTGGAATTCGTCACCGTTGAAGTCTGAAAGTTCCAAAAGCTGATCATTAGTTAGCTCAAAGTTGGGAACTTGTTGTTACATAGGCATGTATATTACTGGTGATTCCATAGGTAGACGATAGACGTCTTTAGAGTATTTATGTTGAGATTGAGATAAGGAGTGGTCGAAGTGAAGTTGAGAGGATGATGAGTTAAATATTTGTTGTTGAGATTGGTAGGAGGCAAAGCCATAGTTAAGTTGAGAGGATGATTAGTTGATGGTATGTTGTTGTGACTAGGAGTATGAATACTAAAAGTTAGGTTAAGGAATTTGAGAGTATTACAAGGGTGGTCGAAGTATGGTTTGTTCTTGATATTGTTGGTGATAATTGTTTGTTTGAGGGATTGATTGGCAAGGAGTTGGTTGTTGGGATGAGGTGGTAAAGAAAGTGCGTTGTCGTCTAGTTTGGGTGTGATGGTATGTTTGTTGGGGGGTATGAGTATGTTTGTTACGTTGAAGAGGAGGCAAATTGACAAGGGTTGGCTAAAAACTGTGGTTGAGAGTGAAAGATTAATGGAATATTTCTAAACCATGTGATACATTCTTAGTTATGGCTCCATTGATCTCCATTTAAACAGGTCTCTCTCAAAATCAAAAGTCTTTTATTATTCCACTCCTCGATTTCTTATCTATTTACAGAACCCCAATGAAACGCCAGGTGGATTGCATTTCTGTTTTACGATGTTCCTTCAGACATCTTGGTTGAGATGGGATTTCCCGTGGAAACCCAAACATAAGTTTGACCCGATCTGATTGATGCATCTCAACAATAAAAAAACATATTATTGATGTCGTTGCACTTCACACAAGCATATCAGCATGAACAATTACCATTCCTATCTTTGCTTCGACGGATGAAAGTATGTGGATAATCAGGGTATGGCCTCCACTTAAACTGTTACACAAAATAGAATAGTTAGAGTGCAAGTACACATCCGAGAAAATAATAGTTATTGTATGGTTACATGACTTACATCGCCCGGAATCATGCGATCAAATACATCTCGATATCCACGTAGATGATAATGGGGAGTATTGTCGTACTCCATACCTCTTTGAGAAAATCTTGCATTTTCATAATATCGAAGGGTTAAATATGTTTTTGGTCCCTATAAATATCTAAATTTTGGCTTTTAGTCCCTATAAAAAAGTCGATTTTTAGTCCCTATAAAATTACTTTTGCACACAGTTTTAGTCCCTGAAGAGGGACTAAAATTGCATGTAAAAGTAATTTTATAGGGACTAAAACTCGACTTTTTTTTATAGGGACTAAAGGCCATTTTTGGCAATTTTGTGGGGACTGAAAACATATTTAACCCAATATCGAAATGTCATAAATTAAATGTACATGTGTCTAAAATAGTGCAATAATAAAATAAATTTACCTGGTGGCATACGGATAAGCCAACTCTTTGTTGCTATTAGAAGCAATTAAGGGTATAATCCAATATGCCCATGTATTCAGGAGGAGTACACATCCTCCAATACTCATTACTCCCTTCCATGACGCTCTGCACACACTTCTATACAGTGTAGCCAGACAAGTAGAGCCCCAACTATAAGTCTAGCATGTTTGTAAAATTCCTTACAAAAGGTACCAAACTAGAATGCAACAAGTTATTAGTTTTGTTTGGAAATAAAAATGAAGAAATGAGAAGTAAAACATATATTTTTGCATGCAGGATGTTATCATCTTCGGTAGGTGCATCCTGATTTTCAGATAGTTAGAAATCTGGTGTAGCCATGTTATTTTTACAAACTTCTTTTGTATAAATTCACTAGAAGGTTGCACATCCAAATTTTCCATATATACATTTTCGCCTACTCGAATAGAACCATTAATAGTTGTACCATCTACACGGAGATCGAACAACATACATACATCTTCCAAAGTGATGGTACATTCATCGGTTGGAAGATGAAATGTATTTGTTTCTGGTCTCCACAGTTCCAACAATGCAACTACAAGCCTTGAATATACTTTTATTGTATGAATTTTTGACACCTTGGCAAACCCGACTAGTTCCAAATACAGAATGATATTCTCACTTGGCCCCTCGAGACAATAAGAATGAAGTCTGAACCTAAGTCTGCTTTGGTCTTGTTAAAATTTTTTTTAAGAGCATTTACAAAAATTCGAAGAAAAACAAAATCTATTAGCATTATTTAAAAAACTTACGTATTATGCAACGTTGGCTGCTGTTCCCCAGTGATCTTCTTTCATCCACAATAAGCCTTCCATTGAGAATTTTTAAAAAAACCTACTTCTTTCACAATGTTATAGATAATAAAGCTTACAGCTGTAAGAAATATTGTTGAGTGTGTGATGAAAAATAGATACAAAGATTCAAATTTATAGACCAAAAATTAGTGTTGCATGCAATTATTCAATGGACAAAGCCATGCAACTAGCTATTCATAGGCATACTGCCATATACGCATGCATGCAGGTTGATAAGACCATACAATGGTCCAATAATAGGTCACCCACGGGTTGGACGAACCATTGAGGCCACCTTCCGTTCGCCCATGGGTTGGACAAACCATTAAAAATATATCTTCCTGACACCATTATAGATTTGCAAACATTGGACACTCCAAACATCAAGGAAGTTGCAAGGTTTTAAAAATTTAAGTTGTAAAATAGTCTTCTTATTTATATGCCATAATACCTTCGTCATCTGCAGTTGAAGACTCCCAACATATGTGGGGTTGTTTTAGATGAAATGGGTCGCCTTGCGATAAAATACTCTTAATATTTGGTACGTTGCAAGGTTGTAAGACTATGTTTTTAAAATTTCATAATTAAATGAGAGTCATTATAAGTTCAGTTATGGGATTTTTCACATCTAGAGGTAGATGATTCGAAAAAGAATTTAATCATTTTTATAATTATATGTGTTACCATTTAGTTAGTTTTTTAGTTTTTATGAATTACAAACAAACCAATCAATCACGCTCACCCCATTGCTATTGCAAATTCACTGCATTGTAGCCACAAGGACAACCGCCCTGTCCTTGTATGGAATAAAATCTTTGTGGATACGACAATCTTACTTTTCATATAGTGATTTTTGCTGACACAAATACTATGACAATGATTTCATACCAACAAAATTGCACCATTATCGATGATTGTTGATCACTTCAACAAGGCAAGAATATGTGTATGTACTTGACATTTAACACATTTAAATTTCACTTTATTTTATTTTAATTTTTGTTATATTTTTTTCAGTTTTATATTTTATTTTCCTTGGTACTACTATAAATATATTTTTGTTTAGTTTATGTATAACACATGGTTAAAAAATTTAGAGTTTAATCCAAAAATTAAAAAAATTCATAAAAGCAATTTGACAAGCTACTCTTCTAGCTAAGCAACAAGAGGATAAAATGGCACAACCAGATGCCCGTACTTTACTTTGGGAGACTTTAGGTGTCACAACTGAAGATGAAGTAACTTATGGGTTCTAAATGGAGAATCCATGTTATTTTGAAATTAACTTTTTTTTTTCTTTCAAAGTTAAGATATATTCCATTTGACAAGTATTCTGATAGAATCATACAAGCATCGATTAAAATTAAAAAAAAAATATTTTCTCTACAATCAGGTTTGGGTATTTGAAATAAATAATTTGTTCTTTGAAAAATGTCTAAAACCAATCCATAATCGATTTATGACAATATTATAATTGATTATGCACATTCGTTTTAGGAAAATTTTGCTCACGTTCATATCATAATATATTATGCTTAATCCATAATTGACCACTCAATGAGACATGTCTCATAATCGATTATATTATCATTATAATGGATTAAATGGTGGCAAAAGCTTCATAATCGATTATTTATATACCATAATCAACTATGCTTTAGTTAAAGAGGTTTTTGGTGATATAACATGTTGACCTTAAACATTCTTTGATGATGTTCGTAATGTTTGATCTTTTTGAGTCAATCATCAAAACCCATTTGCATGTAGAACCCCACTTTTCTCATTAGTCAACATATTCAAACCAAAACCAAATCCTTATACCATTCACTGTTCAATTTTTTGATGGTATTTATAAACACTCATTTTATAATTTGACCATTCTTGACCTATAAAATTATCTCAAATATGAATCACCAGATGAAATAACTCTTCTTTTGTAAAGGCTAAACCCTAAAACAACTACAAAACGAACATGGAACAACTTAAGACAATTAAATTACAAATATGAATATTTTTTTCCTCAAAAAACTAATATAAACCTTGAAATCAAGATAAAAGACTCAACATATTTTAAAAAGACTCAACTAATATTATGATTTTTAAAAACGAAATCCAATCCAAACTCTCTTATTTTCCGACCAACACTCCTATATTACTTTTTTATTGTCTAGTATTCCAATGATCAAAATTTTATATAAAGTTAAATAAATAAGATATCGAATGTTCGAAGTCACGCATATGCACTCAGATATTTTGCACAAACCGAGTTGACTCAACATGACCACTTTCACATTGCTAATAGTCACTATTTTTTATAATTTTTTTTCTAAACCACTATAATATAAGATAGTTACATTATATTTATAATGTAACTTTTATTATAAATCATCAATGATGAAAGTTCTCTTAGTTTTCTTATAAGACATGAAACCCTAGTCTCCTCCACTTCCAATTCAAACTTCAAACCCTCAAACATTCAACAATGCATCCTCCCAGCAAGCGATCTCGATCAGAGATCAAAAACCCTCCACCTCCCATGCCAATCTCCGATCCTGAATCCAAAATCTCCCAATACGAACTCTCTAGAGAAGAAAGAATCCGCGAAAATCGCGAGAGAATGGGAAAATTGGGGATTCCCGATATCTCACATTCCCTCAAGCTCATAACAACCCCACCTTCACGAAGAACTCCATCTAACCCTAAATCGCTTCTTCCTCGTAACCCTTCTAGCCCTTCTCGCCGTTCTTCCAGGTTCTTCTGTTTTTCGCAATAAAATTTCGATCTTTGATTTAACATGCAAAACAAAAGCTTGCACTTTTTATTGATTATGATTTTGTTTTTGTTTTGGTTTTAGGTTACAGAATATTGCTCCTGTTTTTGTGGTTGGTTTAGGGGAAGATGTGAAGAGGTAGGTTCCTCTATCCTTAATCAACTTACTATTTGATAAGAAGATAGCTAAGAATTAGGGTTTTCTACACTAAAAAGGGAAGAACATTAAATTGACTAAATAAAATAAAGGAAGACTTTTCATTTGAATTCTTGATTCATAATGTCTCAATGAGACTAGATTATTTAACACTTCTAATGGATAATAAACTAAAGGCCTAAGCACTAGTAAAAACCCAATTCAACAAAACATTCAAAATAAAATAACACTAACATAATTATATTACTAATTGAAATATCTAATTGCACCTCCTATCACTATCATTGTACATGATGAAATGAAATTGTTTATGAGCTAAGAAGCACGGACACCGGAACCATGACTCTGAGGAAATGAATAAATTAAACGTAATCACACGCGTTGGTGTCGGTTTTGTACATTGACACTGACACACATTTGAGGTGCATTTTCATTGTACATGATGAAATGGAATTGTTTATGAGTGGTTTGAGGTACATTATCTGGCTGTCATTGTATGGGGTTTTATGATTTAATTAATTTGGTGCTTGAATACCACTTTTCAGAACATGCTTTGCTGGTAACATGTTATACTAGCATGTTTTCATGTTAATACACACTAAACTACTTATTGGTTCTGTTATTCCTCTTAAACCTGTTACTCACTACTCTGCCGAACTCCAAGTTAAACTCCTTTTCATGCTTCAAACAATAAGTAAAGAAAATATCATGTAATTCTTTTAACTATATTTGTCATTATTTTTTTATACATTGTTGATCTCCAAGATTTTGCTCGGAAAATATGTTTTGAAGGCTGATGTAGCTTTACCCTGACCACAAACCGTATCTGTCTTTAGTTCGAAAGTACAAAGTATTGTGGACTTTCAAGAGGAAACCATTTTCCAAAACACACAATGAAAAGTATTGACAGCAAGTGTTAAGATTTTGATTCTTCTTATAATGCCTCGTGTTAAAATTTATTGCTTGAAGAAAACTGAAAAGGGGCAAGGTAAAACTACTAATTACAATTTATTGTAATTGCATTATATGCTGAACATATTTTCAAATCTCATACTGTTCAAATCCGCACTCATGTATCTGATGTCTTTACAGTTAGTAATGAGTTGATTTAATTTTTCATCAGAGTTTGAACCAGCACAACACATTTTCAAATCTCATACTTTCACTTACACAGCTAGTAACTAAGCTAACTTAATGCTTTTACCAAGTTCGAATCCACACCCTTGTATCAAATGTCTTTGCAGATCTATCAACTAAGCTGACTTAACTATATGAGACTTTTGATGGAATTTAGTACAAGAAAGAAATGATGTACGGAATCCAAGAAAATGAGTGGTGATTAATAAAATGAAAATGTGACAGTGTATGTATATTGAATGTATACTAACTGAACTTCATATTTGGCTGAAATTTGATTTTGTTTGTTTCCATAGACTTTCTCGACATACAATGACCTTTCATACATTCAGGATAAAAAGTGCTTAAACCTCTTCATCTTTAACCCTTTTTACTTTAAAAAATTGAAGAGAAAAACATTTGCAGAAAGGTTGCAGTCTTGTTCCTAGCCAATATGAACAAATACCTATAGTTGTAAATATTTGCTTTGGAGGAGGGTACCCTTGTTTTAAAGCTTCTGTTTTTTCTTGTACTTCAGATCTAACAAGTCAGGCGATGAGGTAGTAAAGAGAAAAGGCGGCGGCGGTTTCCTTCTTCCACTTCAACTATCTGATGCCCTTGCGAAGTTCTTTGGAGAAAGTGAATTATCAAGAATTGAAGTCGTTAAAAGAATGTGGGATTATATAAAAGGAAACAACCTTCAGGTTTGTTACTTCTCTAAATTGTCCTCCAGCCATATATATTGCTTAAATAAAGCTTTGATGGTTTCTGCACATTAGTGGTAATTTTCATGCTTAAAGCTTGAAAAGTCATTGAAAAATTATTCATTTTGGTGTTCAGTTGGGGGTGCATTTGGAAAGTGTGGTGGGGTAATGATGTAACTTTCTTGGCAATGCATAACCATGCCCCATGTTTAAATATTCAACTGTTGGCTGTTGACCCTCCACTTTTTCCATTTTTCTATTATTACAGCATAAAATAAATGCACACGTTTGTTTCATGTTAGGTTGTCAACCTAATCCAACCAATCCTCTTATTTTCTGAACATCACAAGACCAGCTATAATTAAGAGGCTAAAAAGTTGAAGTTAATTTTAACCAGTGTTATTCAGATTCTTTCTCTGGTCATCTTTGATATCTGTCATGACCATTTATTTCCTTATCATAAAGTTCTACACTTTTTCTGACCAATGCATTTGTCAATCACCAACTCTTCCCCCCAATTAGCATGGAAATGATAATTGCTGACTATCCTTTAGCTGCAAATGGCTTGAACTTACTGCATTTCTGATTGATTGCTTTATGAAGGATCCTTCTAAAAGGAGGCAAATATTATGCGACGAAAAGTTGAAAGAACTCTTTGGTATTGACTCCTTCGACGGCTTCACTGTTTCAAAACTGCTGGTGCCTCATTTCATAAAGAAATAGCCGAGAGTTGCTTGCACATTTATATATGTGGTGAGCGTGGGAAATTTGGCTAATTTTGTTTATTTATCAAATTAGTTTTGGAAGGCCTGTTTATGTATCATCTTTTCAGCATGGTCTGCAAACACGAGGAACAGGAATTAGTGTAGTGACAGATTTTCAGTGAATTTTTATCAAAGAATTTAATGTTCCTTGGCCATTTATCATTTAATTGGCAGTGGAAAATTGTGTCCTGAAGCTGCGAAGTAAATTCTGACTCCATGAATTTATTGATAGTAAGCACTGTGATTTCATCGACTTAAAAATTTGCCTATCCAGACTATACCTATCGAATTGTCAAGTTTCTCATGTGTGGCGTGAGGGTGATCGTAGGGCTAGTTGTTCTGTTATCAATGGAAGAAAAAAACCCTATAACTATCTATTATGGGCATTACTGGATAGCATGGTATGCTTTACTGGATGACAATAAAGAAGAAATATACGAAACACATAGCAATGAAAGATACAAGTTATCCCACTAGAGCATAACTATATTTGATGCTTTCACATAACAAAAATGCTTTGGGAGGGGGAAGGAGTGAAGTTGGTAACAAGTACTAATAGGAGTACAAAAGAGCTAGACTAGAAAAAGGTAGAAAAATAGAAAGCCAAAGATGAATTATCATAATAAAATAGGACTGAAGAATTGGTAGGAAATAAGTTGTACAAAAAGAAACACAGATACTACATTCCTTGGAAACTTGTGAGTTTTAGATTCGTCATCCCTACTCTAAGTAGAAAACCTCCCCAATCTCCTCTTATATGTAATTATACAATAGTTTACATTTTTATTATTGAGCCTGTTATAAACTTTAAATAATTAGCTGTGTTGAAAATTTAATAGACGGGCAATTTTTCTATCCACCCTTGTTTATTGCATCTCAGAAAGACAAACCGGGGGAAATGTCCAGCGGAAAGGTATCTTAAACAAAATTGAGTTTTTTTTGTTACTCCCATTGATGTTTTCGGTAAGGTATTTCCGAAAATGTCCAACGGAATTTTGAGTATATATCACATTGCATGATCATCTTTCAAACACTTACCACCCTCAATGGCCAAAAAACCCTTGAAAAAAAATCTTCATTATCAATCAATTTTGCGATTCAAAACCAACTTTTATACATTCAAACACATCAAAAGGAGCATCATAAGCTATAATTTCAGCTACAATTTCTTCCTCATTGCTTGCATTGATTCATTGTTTATGTTGAAAAACATTCGTGTAGTTCGAAAATGCCAATCCGAACTCCACCTACATTTGTCTGGAATTACATTTCTGAACTAACATGTTGGTTTTTAAAATATCTTTTTGCATCTTATTAGATATGGTTTATCCGGATATGTTTTCGAAAGTAGCTTTACATAACAATGTAATAGAGGATGTAGCGGAGGAAGATGTCTAACCATTTGAAGTTAAAGTGATAGAAATAGATGTTGGTGAATGTTTCATAAATACATAGTTGTATATTGTTCGTGAACATATGATTTAATGGGTCCGAAAGGTAGCTATGAATTTGGAGTTTGGTATTGTAATTGGAAGGTTCGACAATGGTTCAAATAGAAGACAACCATTTGTAACCATGGTATACAAGAGAAATTGCACATATGTTCCCCATTCGAAATTTGAAATGTGATGACACCGGAACGAGAAAGTGTGGTTGTTCATTTAAACTGCGCGGATATTGCAGCGTCGATGAGATGTAGAAATTTAATGTGCTTTCTGCAATACATAATCATGAGTTGCATACAAAGCTAGTTGGTCATCGTATGTCGTCTTAAATCGACGGAGAAGGAAATTTTTTCGAGCACGACTTTAGTCAGAGTGGCGCCGAAAAACATATTCTCGGATTTGAAATAGAAACACCTAGAAAAGTGTTGCAAATATTAAGCAAATATACAATGAGCGACATAAAAACAATTTGGCGATAAGGGGTCCAAGATCCTAAATGCAACAAATTTTGAAACTTTTGGATGAAAACCACTGTATTTCTAGGTATGCAGTATGTGATGACAAAGTAACTGTTCGTGATATTTTTTGGACTCATCTAGAAAGTATCAAGTTGTTCAACACGTTCCCTACTGTCCTCATTATTGATGTGATGTACAAGATCAACATGTATCGATTTTCACTTCTTGAGATTGTTGGATTTACGTCTACGGAGAAGACTTTTCAGTGGGATTTGCGTTTTTGGAATATGAAAAAGAGGTTAACGTTACATGATCCTTGGAAGTGTGCAAGACTTTGTTGAAGGATAAAAAAAACATATCGAAGGTAATTGTCACCGATCGAAATGCCGCACTAATGAATTCGGTAGCAGAGGTGTTTACTACTTCATATGCATTACTTGGTTGGTATTACATCACAAAAAATTGTGAGAAGTCAACTAAAATCTGTTGTAGGCACGAAACAAATCAAAGGTGATGACTGAAAAATGGTCAAAACAACTTTGGTGGTGGAAAAGATTATGGATGCATGGAATGGTATATTAAATTCATCCACGAAAGAATTTTATTTTAACTCCATAATGCAATTTAGGAAAATGTGTGACTGATATTCATATTTTTTGAAATATGTCGAAAGTACAATTCTGGAACAAGTGAATGAGAAAATTGTTTGTGCATGGATCGATCAACATAGAGACTTAGGCACTACAACAACTAACAGAGTCAAATAAGCATATTCAGCATTGAAGAAGTGACTGAGTGATAATAAGGGTGATTTCTGTAGAGATTGGTACGGTGTGCACCAAATGCTCCAAAACCAACATTCAGAAATACAAACCACTTTTGATTGGAGTATGACGATGCAAGAATATAGATACAAAGACAAAATTCTCTATTCACTTTTGGTTGGATATGTATCTTGGTCGGTGATCAGTGGTTTTTACACAAATATTTAATATTTATTTTAGCTATCGTTTCTTTTACTTGTCGATGTTTTATTTCGTTCTATCGTATATTATGCTTTGATTTTGTGTTTTAGTGTTTTCAGGTTCAAAAGAATAAATCGGGACAAATCGATGCAAAACTCAGAGTTTTGAAAGAAATACAAATATCCACCTACAAGAGGCCTGACACGGCCACCCGTGTCACCTGACACGGGCCATGTCAGGATGAAGGCTAGGACGAGACAAAGGAAATGGGAAGTCAGGGGGATGATACAGGCGCCTGTGTCAGCTGACACAGTCCGTGTCAGAAGGTATATATCAAAAAATAAAAGGCAAATTCCCAGAGGTCCAACACGGGCACCTGTGTTGCCTGACACGACCCATGTTGGGTTGCGACGCTGATTTCAGTATTTTAGGTTAATTTGTTCATCTGTTAAGCTGTGGGGGGTATTTTGGGTACTTCCAACCGATTAGTCGGTATTGAATTTCATCTTTCACGAAGCAAAGCAGACAAAACAGACAAGTACAAATAAGTCAAAGTGTGGATGTACAGTTAGGAAGACTTATGGTATTCCATGTGCTTGTTTCATTACAAAAAATAATATTAATTCACCGATACGTATGGATGAAGTGTACAATCATTGAAAAATAGTCTAATTTGACGATGATGGTGTGATTAATGATGGTAAAGCAGGTATAAGCATCCAGACCGAATAGAAAATAATCTAAGACAATTTGTCAAGGCAGATGACATCTTGAAATCAAAGAGCGATTGAGGAAGATTGCATATTCGGAAACCACATATTTAAAATCTCCTTTACAACGGGTTAAAACCAACAGAGCACCTAAAAAGGTAAAACCGAGTCAAGATGATAATTCAACAAAGCGGTCTCCATCTTACTTTGAACATGTTGATTCACATTTTTTGAATTCTCAAACTCCATAATCTCAAAAAACTGTTCATAAGGGTGTTCGAATTAGCAAACCACCTCCACCACGTCCCCCAGCTCCACCACCACCTTCACCACCCATTCTTGGAATTGAATTCATTGATGAAATGCCGCTTTTTATGCATAAATACATTGAGCGGATTGTGAATATTGGGGGTGTCGGCAATTGCGGTTATCGGGCTGTAGCCGGATTGCTTGGTAAATCATAAGATGATCACATGAGGTTATACACGAGGTTATACACTTCCAAAGAAAAATTTGACTCAATTCAAGATACTCTTGTTCCTTGTCGTAGCGATAAAGCACCATATTCAAAGTGAACGCGCTTTCCGGAGATGGGCCACCTAATAGCAAATGCGTACGAAAGAGTGTGTATTGATCTGACAAGACATGGGTTATTTGAGACATTTTCCATTATGCATTGGTCCACCTAAAAACCCGTCTAGACGCATCATGTGCATTGGGTATCTTTCAAAGAGTATCATTTTGTTCAGGTTTATTCGAAACCTGGGTGTCCAATTCCGGCGACATCGATGAGTGGACGACACATTCAACAATTTAGCTGGAAACATGGCCAAATCAATTTCTATAGAGGATGACAGAGTTCACAAAATTGATGGATCTTGAAAGAGAATCAAACAAGTAAGCGTCGAAGGCGGAACCAGCTGTAGATTTATGCGGTACCAGATCTTTTGATACATTTTAGATTGTAATCGATTCGATTTTTTGTATGTATTAATTTTGATACAATTTAATACATATTAATTTTATTGCATGGTTGTGGTATACATAGCATGAGATAATTTTCAAAGTTACTGGTTTTTAACTGGTTCAGGGAACATTTCAGAAACACCATTCTGAAGTCACCCTTTGGTATGTTTGAAAACTTGATTATGAACTCCCTTTTTACAAATTAAACGTGAGGTAAATTCAGATGGACACTTTGAAAATTTAACTGACATAGATAAGATTTTTAAGGTCTGAATTGACTAAATGATTTTTGAACATGTGGAAGAATAAACAATTATTTTAGATTCCCACAAATAGCAGTTGTCTTTAGACCTTATGCCTTTCACCAAAACAACTTATTTCTCATCTTTGACTAGATATTCTGACTTTGAGAAGTTGACTAACAGTCCTTGGTCATAAAATTGACTAATGCTAATAAGATTAGCAGCTAATCCTTTCACAAGAAGCACATATTCTAAACTAGGAGAGAAAACACCCATCAACTTTCCAACTCCTTTGACTTCACCTTTAAAACCACCACCAAATCTGACAGAACCTAGAGGATGAATGTTGAAGCGGTAAAGCAGTGAACAACAAAAATTAGGAAGTATTACTCTGAGAAAAATTATCGTCTCCATAGGGACTAGTGTTTGAACTCCCCTTCAATAAGTCTCGTGTTAGTGAGTTTGGTTTGAATGGTTAAAAGCACAAAAACGAAAAAGTAAATATGAACAAAAAGAATTCATTCTTCAGAGCGAAGAAACTTATCAAACATGCATATAATCCACTCCTCACAAACTTAAACATATCGAACAATTATACTCAACCTGTAATACTCGTCAAAATCATCAAGCATCGCTCACACTCTAAGTCATTTCTAACCCAAAGTTGAGAGAACCAATGTATCATCTTAGAGGTGATTTCTCAACCAACTTTAACAACAGATAAGACAACCGTGTTGCTCACATTGATGATCTCTCAACCAATATAAACAACACAAACAACACATAGGCATTAAGCTCTGATACCTGTTAGGTGCCAAATTGTGTTAATATGTAGTATAATTTTTGGTACATTTCGATTCATTTTATCGCATATTCGTATTTGTTCCCATTTGTTTCTATGTAAATATTCTTAGTTAATTTAATCAAGTTTATAGTTCATATTAATCTATTTTTATGTAAATTTATTGTAGGTGTTGCTTTTGGATGGAAGCTTGAAGCTTGGAGGAAGCAAAAAGGGCATTTCAAAGAAATTTGGAATTTTTTAGCAAGCTTCAGGAGGTGCGATGTGCGGTCATAGCATGGTCATAGCATGGTCTGGAAGCATCTTTGGATTTATGGACAGTCTGTAGGGCACGATGCACGGCCAGGAGCGCACGATGCACGTTTGAGGGCGGTTTGATCATTTAATGAAGGCGCGAATCACGTCCCATAGGGCGCATCGCACAGTCTGTTAATTTTTGAAACCTCTATAAATAGAGGTCTTGAGACATTTTGAGGGGTTAACACATTTCTAGAGACCAAAACTGATACATAGCACTGTAGCATTGAAGATTCGAAGAATCAGAGCATAAATAGTTGATAAATCACCATTGATGCTTGATTATCTTCTCCATTTCCTTGTTTGTGACGCTACCATGTCTATGGACAACTAAACTTCTTTGTGTCAAGATTAGAGGTAGATAATCTTAGCTTTTGTTATGTATTTCTCTTAATCTTTTGTATGTGAACAAGTAATGATTAATATATGGTGAAAAACCTTGTGTTTATGTTTATATTTGATTTGGATCATTATTGAGAAATAAGTTTCATATCTTGACCTAGGTTTTTAATCTATCAACAACCAAAGTTTAAAGATAGCTTTGTGAGTTGATATTCACTAATATCAAGCCTTTAATGTTATCATTTGGATAGTTAGGTTGAGAGATCATCAAAGGATCAAAATGATAAAACTCACAATATGGTTTAGAGATGAAACGTATTGAGAGGATATGTGATTATATTGATCATTAATGAGTTCACATGCTTTATTAAGAAAATACATATGAAATAGATTATTGAATCCTAATCTTGATATGCTTTTACCAATCGTTTTAAATCCAAAACTCTCTTTTACCGACACTTGATATTTTTTATGAAATTGAAACTTTCCTTTACTAAAACTGAAACCAAAACCTTTGATGAATCATATGCTTAAAACAATTATAAATGTAGAACGAAGGTAATATCACACCAATCTCTATGGAAAACGATAATAGAAAATACTTGTCCTATCAAAAGTGTTTCAACAAAATGGCGTCGTTGCCGGGGATTGGAGTTTTATATTGCAAGCATTGCAATAGTTTTATTTTTTTTGAGTTTTTAGTTACTAACACAACAATATTTCAAAGTGTTGTTCTTTTGTTTGGTTAGCAGTTTAGAAGCTTGTTTATGCGAGGACAAATTTTTGAAGATCAAGTTCTTTTTGATCCTGAGATTGAAAGAATGGTTCAAAAGCTTAATAGCAAGACAAGAAGAAGAAATAAGTTAGCCAAAGAAAAAAGAGAAATAGAAGAATCATCTTATTCTTAAAATCATCAACCTCAAGTTCAAAGTCAAATAGAAGTGATGGCAGGAGTTCCACCACCAGTTCCACCTCCCCGAGGTCCTTGTGCAAATAGTCCGAGGAGAATGGCTCAGTTTTCTCGCAATGATAACAACACGAGGAAAGTTGAGACGAAGACCATCTTACTTCAAACCATGTATCAAAATCCATTCACCGAAAAAGACCATGAAGACCCTTACACCTATCTCACTAAGTTCTATGAGATTGCGGGTTCTGTGGGAATTTTTGAAGAAGAGGAACTACCATTATTCAAAAGAATGTTCCCTCATTATTTGGTTGGCAAAGCCAAAGATTGGTATTTAGATCAACCAACCCAGACAATGACAAATTGGAATGTCTTAGAGGAAAAGTTCTTTGAAAGGTACTTTGCGCTGTCAAGGTTTATGGAAGCAAAGACCACTATTCATATGTTCTCACAAGGCAGAAACGAGTCTTTAAATGAGGCTTGGGAGAGATTCAAGTCAATTATTAGGAAATGTCCTAGTCATGGATTCAACGATCTTACTCAAATCCACATCTTCCGAAATGGTCTTGTGCCCGCATATAAACTTCTTTTGGATGAAACAGAGGGAGGATCATTGATGTCCAAAGCCACAGAGGAATCAATTGAAATAATTGAGAAAATGGAGAGAAATGATCACCAAGTTCAACACATTCGGGGGAATTCACAAAGGAAACCCGGGGTATTGAACTAGGTATAAATTATGCGATATTGTCCCAAAACAATCTTCTTTCACAACAAGTGGAAGAACTTACAAAGAAAATGTCCCATCTTCCTCAACAACTCAAGGAGTTGCAAGATCTTCCGCCTAAACAAAAGCAAGTTGCCTTATGTGAGCTTTGTAGTGGTGATCATTAAACCGATTATTGTCCAATTGAAGGTGAAGAAGTGAATTACATGGAAAATCAACGAGACTACCAACCAAGACAACAACCATATCAAGAAAATCAAAATAACCAAGGTTACCAACAAAGAGGGAATAACCAAGGTTAACAACAAGGTTGGAGGCAAGATGCCGAAACTTCAAATCGACAAAATCCTTATAATGCGCCTCCTCAAGAATGGTCTTCCAAGATAGAGGAGACTTTGACCCAATTAATGCAAGCCTCAATGGCAAACCAAAAGAGTAACGAATCGGCAATTAAAAACTTGGATAATCAAGTAGGTCAACTTGCAAAACAATTGGCCGAACAACAAACCGAGACATTAGTTTATGGTAATACTCTTACTAATCCTAAGGAGCATTGAAAAGAAATTTTAACTAGGAGTGGTAGAGTAGTTGAAAGTGGAGTTGGGGATGAGATTGCAAGTGAGGAGGAAGGGGTTGATACAGAAAAAGAAATATAAGAAAAGAAAAATGAGGACGATTTAGTTGAAAATGAGATAGTGGAGTTAGAAGAGAAAAATAGTGAGGAAAATAAAGAAAAGATAGAAGAGGGGAAGAAGAAAGTGAAGATTCCTTCTCCAATCCAACACTTGCCTTATCCTCATGCTCCCTCAAAGAAGGAAGATGCTAGACACTACGCTCGATTCATGGATATTTTTCTACAATTGCAACTTAACATTCCTTTTTATGAAGCAACTGAGCAAATGCCAAAGTATGCAAAGTTTTTGAAGGACACCCTTACGAAAAAGCAAAGATATACGAATCAAGAAATAACCATGGTAGATGCAAAGTGTAGTTCCATCATTCAAAGAACTCTACCAAATAAGGAAAGTGATCCAGGAAGGATTACTTTGCCCGTCACCATCAGAGATGTGTATGTTGGTAATGGGTTAATTGATTTGGTCTCTAGCACTAACTTGATTTCGTTGTCCATTGTGAAAATATTGAGAAACATTGAGCTTCAACCAACAAGAGTGACATTGAAACTAGCAGATAAGTCTATCACTCATCCTCATGGTGTAGCATTCGATGTGTTGGTAAAAGTGGATAAATTCCTTTTTCTGGTTGACTTTGTTGTGATTGATATGGAAGAAGACCATGATGCTCCTTTGGTTCTTGGGCGAACTTTTATGAAGACTGCTAGAATGATGATAGATGTCGATGATGGTCTAATGAAAGTAAGAG